CCTTTTGTTTTTTTTGGTCCAAACTCAAATCCAAAAGACAAATGGAAATCGAGGAATTTGGCCTGTCCCTGCCTTGACCCCCTGACTCCTGAATTCAGATTCCTGGCCAGAGGGGCCTGGGGCAGGCCCGTGCCCATCGGCTCTGGTTAGACCAGCCCCGATGCCAGGCTGCTTATTTCTATTGCTTTGTTTTGTTCATTTCCCCCCCTCCCTCGTTTTTTTTTTCTCTCTCTCTCTGATTTAGTTTCTTTCTTGGTCTCCTGAAAATCCATGGAAAACACCATCCCATGACATGCTCCGCTCTGCTCACTGTCACTCCTGGACAGGCCCCTTGAGTTGGAGGAGGGGGCTGGGGTGAGACCTCCAGTGGCAGCCAGCGGGGCAGGCTCCCTGAGGGGGGCAGACGTGGCCTGGGAGGTGCACAGCAGCCTGGGACCAGTCCAGATTGCTCCTTCAAGTCACCAGTGCATACCAGTTTGGGGGCTGCCCCACGCTGGCTGCCAGGGAAGAGGTGACATCCCTACCCTCGCTTCTCAACCTTGCGGGTTCCTGGTCCCGCCTTCCCCCACATTCTGCATGGCACGAATGGTCTTTCCCCCCACCAGGGACAGCGTCCAGTCCCCCCACAGCTCTGCTGCTCTGACTAACACTGTGTTTCACACTGTCTTCCTTCCCCTCCATCTCTCCCCGTCTCTGTCCCCTGCCTGTCCAGCATGGCCTCTACCCGGGGCTGCTTCCTCCCTGCTGAGGGGCGAGAGGAGGAGGCCCCGCAGGGGTAAAGTTGGGGTGGTTGTCACCAAGCTCCTCTGTTTGGGTTGGACTCAGTCCCTGGGAGTGTGGGTGTGGGTGTCTGGATAAATGCAGCTGGTGTGCGTCGGTGTGTGGGTGCAAGTGTGTGTAAATGTTGGTGTGTCATGGAGGGGTGTCAGTGGGAGACTGTACGCTGTGTTTGTGAGAGTCTGCTGGTGACTCGCCATGTGTCCGTGCCGGTGTGAGCCGGGGCCGTGTGACTGCGTGTGTGTTGAGCCTGGAGAGGGCTCTGGGTGGCAGCGGTGTGGGGGCAGGAGCTGGCCGCCTTGTGTGTGTGCCTGCAGGGCCTGCTGCGCCATCCCCTGGGATCCCTCCTGCCCACCAGGTCTGGGCTCTGCGCTGGCAGGCGGTTAGTCATCGCCTATTAATAATGCGGAGTGATTGAGCTCTGGCCCGGCGACCCTCCGGTGGACGTGTCTGCTCCCATGGGGCCCACGCTGCATGGGGCCGATGCCTGGCCTTCCCGGCCTCCCAGGTCTGTGTGGCTGGCAGGCTGGCAGGGAGGGAAGCAGGATAACTAGGCTCCCAACCAGGGGGGGTCCCCCACCTCCCCAGGGGGGCCTACCTCTCAGGCCTCTGTTTCCCTGAACCCTGGCAGCCCTGTCCTCTGCTCGCCCCTGAGCCGGTGCCCCTGGCTATGGCCACCCTAGCTCTCCCCAAGCAGAGGTCTCATCTGGTCACACCCAGCCATCCCACGTTCAAATGGAGCCACTCGGGGTCCCAGCACCACCCCTCCCAGTCTGTTCCCCAGGTGCTGCTCCAGGTTTAGCTGCTGCCGCTCCCCAGGCTGGCCTGAGTCCCTGTCAGGACCTCTCTTTACAGCGCTTCCCGGGGGCAGGGAGGCAGGCTGGGGGCAGGGAGGCGGGGTCAGCCTGGGCAGCACACCGGCACCTGGGGAACGCCACCTGAGGGTGAGGGCCTGCAGACCCCCTCCAGTCTCAGTTCAGTTAAAAATGGACCATGTGACCTGGGCTAAAGCTCAGTCACCCAACGGGCTGACGACACACCTGCGTGCCCTGTGTCCTGGGGTCCGTGGAAGGTCAGCAGGGGTAATGCAAGCGGAAGCCTGTGTGCTCCGTAAAGGGACCGGTAACTTTATGAAGCTTATAAAATGCTGACTGAGCGTCTCGGTGTTGCCAGGGCAGGGGTGCTTTGTAAGGGTGCAGTTCCCTTCCCACAGCAAACCCCGGAGAGTGCGCTTGCTCCCCCACTGGAGACCCTATTCCCCTCCCCTTAGGACCTAGTCCTAAAACAACTGCGGGAAACCCCAGAATGCCTCAGGAATTGGGTCTGGGAGGAGGAGAGACGGGGTGCATAAGCTGGTTACGAAGCAAAGAGCCCCGTGTGGTTCCCCCCTGGCTCAAGTCTCTTCTCCGAGGGCTGTGCTCCCCAGTGCCAGCATCGCTGTCGGGGGTCAGGGATCAGAGCCGTTGCCCCGGGGTGGCCCGAGTAGCCTTGTAAACCCCGATAAATCTGTCCCAGGGACCGGCCTTTTCAGGGAAGACTGGAGCCAGGGGACAGGGCCCCGAGAGACAGGGTTCCCCTGTTCTGATTCCAGGGCGTTCTTCAGCCCGGCTCTGCTAGTTCTGTATTTACTTTTATTAACTCTTTTCTTGTTATTTCAACATTCTTCCCTGAGGGAGAGGGTGAACCGGTTGAGAGGTTTGGATTAGTTGTGGTCGGGCCGATGGAAGTTTTCTTGTAAAAATAATAATAGTTCTTTGTACATACACCAGGGGCTCTGGTTCCTCGAAATAGCTCTCACTTTTTGAATATCATTTAAACTCCATGACTGTCTAGATTGCAGGCAGAGGTTACTCCCAGTTAGCAGATGGGGAAACTGAGGCCCAGAGAAAGCCGGTTGTGGAAGATTCCAGGGCTTTCATTTCGGCTGTCTCGTGTGAGCCGCAGTCAGCCTGGGTGGAGGGCGCGTGGTGGGCTGTTAAAGCCTCTGACAGCCGAGAGTCAGAGGGAGGACGGATTGTGTTAGAAAGCCGTGGAGGCTGAAGGACTCAGGATCCTGTCCCTCAGCTTTTCCAAATCCAGCTGCCAGGACGCATTGCGGGGCTGTGCCTGCTGCTGGGCCACCCTCCTGGGGGTCTTTCCAACCAGTCTCTCTCTTTAGCTTCTCCCACCCCAGACAGATGGCTAACCGTCAGCATGCAGCGGGCCTGCACACCTCCCTCTGACGCCCTCCCCGGCCGCACTCTGGCCCCACCCCGTCTGTTCCGAGTGAGCCACCCTCGGCTCCCGGAGCCCTCGAGGACCAGATGACAGAAATGGCATCTCCCAGAAAAACAAAGTGCTCAGTGATTCAGTTTTGCCTACACGGTCACAGGGCTTCCTGACTCCCCAAAGCCCATTCAGCCCACCCACCGTTCAAAACACATGTCCTCACTCCGTCTTATTCTCCCCACAATGAGCCCCCTCCCGGGAGGTTGGGGACTCTGTGATCACAGCAGGGAGCTGAGAAAGGCTCTGCGTGAGGGGGGAGGGGGCATTTGTGGCCAGGGCCTGGTTTTACGTCCTACCGGCCTGCCTACGTGCAGGGAGCCGAGCAGAGGAAGGTGAGGTCAGTGGGGAGGGTTGAGAGCCCTCCCAGCGGGTAGCCCAACCCCTTGTAGCACCTCTAGCCACCCTCCCCGCTCCTGGGGAGTGGAGCTGGGGCTGGGCGCTGGGTTCCTGTGTCTTCTGTGCTCCCCGCTCTGCTCCCTGGCTGGGCCTGGCTTTGGGGCAGAGCTGTGGCTCCTTCCTTCGGGCCTCCTCAGCCCCGCTCAGGCCCGCCTATCTGTGTGGAGTGGACTGGCTGAGCGGATGGTCTGGGTTGGGTGCCGAGTCTGCTGTGTCTTGGGGCCCTGGCCGTGGTCCTGCTGATGGAAAGGATGCTGGTTGGAAATGAGCCCATGGAGACGTCCCCCTCTGCCGTCAGTGGGCGGTGTGTGTGAGCAGGTGTGTCTGGGGTCTGTGATGAGTGGTGTGTAGGGGTGGGCAGAGCGCCTGGGGCACCCTCTGGTGGGGAAGGTCTGAGTCTCATGTCCCTTCCCTTTCTCAGCCCACAGGGATCTGTCCTAGTGGGGCCCCTCTCCCCTCCTCTGCTGGAAGGAAGCGTCTCCTTCCTGTACCCCTCAGCTCTTCTGCCTCCATCTCTGCTTCCCCCTATCTCCCGGCCTGGCCGGCATGCCTTCTCACGTGGCTGTGCTCTCTCGTCTCCTGCTGGGCCCGGCCCCGCCCTGGCCCTCTAACCCGCATGTGCCCTCGAAGCAGTGGCTGTTCTGTGTGGCATGCCCCCCCTACCCTCCTCCCCGCCGGCCCTACCCCTCCCAGAAGCTGTGCGGGGGGGCTGGGGGGCAGGGGCATCCTGAACCCCCAGGGTGGAGGGGGACAGGGGACTGAGTCCCCTGTTTCCTGCTTTTACTAACAAACCCACCATTTTTGTGTCTGGACTTTGATTTGTCTGAGGAAACAGTTGGGTTTACTAATCTGTCATCTCCCTCCTTGCCTTCCCCAGAGACCTTCCTCCATCCCCTGCCCTTGGCTTCCTTTCCACCAGTGCCCGCCCCACTTCCTCTACTTCCCCACCCCTGGCCGACCCCCTTCCTCCGTGCATCTCCTGATGCTCCTCCCCCCTCTCCTCCACCCCCTGGGCCAGGGCTGCTCCACAAAAATAGTTGTGAATTTGGGGCACAGATAGGAGGGTGATTAAGCCCACCCTATTCTACCAGGGGGCACGGCTTGGCAGCAATTTGCATAAGGCTGTGGGGCAAGGTCAGATTTGCACCCTGTCTGCAGGGGAGTTGAGGAGCCCCCGCCCCCCTAGTCAGGTCCTTATAATTCCGAGGGCAAAGGCAGGTGAGCTGGCCCAAGGGACTGGGCCCAAAAAGCCCACAGAGGGAAGAAGATGCTTCCAGGGCGGGGAGCGGGACAGTGCAGTGGCCGGGCGGGCTGGGAACAGAGTGTACTGACGGGGCCAGACGAGCCTCTTCCTGGGGAGCTCTGGGGCTGGGCAGGCCCTGCCCCCCCCGAAACAGGGGTGCCTGGTTAGAGCAGTCTCGGAGGACTGAGGCCCTGCCCACCAAAGGCCCCCGAGGCATAGGATGGACAGATGGCACACAGGCCGTGGCCCTGCCTCCTGAAGTGACTTGGTGTTCGCCTTCAGTGACTCTGATGTGTCCCTGGGCCTGGCTGGGATTAGGGGGTTACAGGGACCCTCAGGTGCCCATTTTTTTTTAAAGATATTTTTAATTGATTTTTTACAGAGAGGAAGGGAGAGGGATAGAGAGTTAGAAACATCGATCAGCTGCCTCCTGCACACTCCCTACTGGGGATGTGCCCGCAACCAAGGTACATGCCCTTGACTGGAATCGAACCTGAGCCAACGCTCTATCCACTGAGCAACACCAGTCAGGGTGCCCATTCTTTTTTAATTAAAAAAACAATTGTTTTATTGATTTCAGAGAGGAAGAGAGAGAGAGAGAGAGAGAGAGAGAGAGAGAGAGAGAAAGAGAAACATCAATGTTGAGAGAGAATCATTGATTGGCTGCCTCCTGCACGGAGCCCACAAACCAGCCATGTGCCCTGACCGGGGATTGAACCGTGACCTCCTAGGTTCATAGGTCAATCACTGAGCCACGCCGGCCGGGCCGGGTCCCATCTTCAGGAGCTGACTGTGTATTTGGGGTGACCAGGTGTAGGCTCAGGAACTAGCTAGTGGCCCAGTTCCGAAGTGCAGGTGGAGGGCAGGAGGGAACAGAGTCTGTTCCAGGGAGACCCCTTCACCTGCCACCCGCCCTGTCTTTTCCACCCTTTCAGCCCAGTCCCCTCCTCCCCTCCCTCCAGCCCCTCTGCCCGGTCTAACCTTGTCTGCATGTTTTTGTGACTAATACTTTGACCCTTCCCTTTTCCACCCAGACCCCCACTTCCCAGCCTCGGGTGGGATGGAGGGAAGAAGAAATAAACAATAATGACCAGCGCTCTCCTCCAAACAAGACCCAAAAGCTTTCACACCTCCCTTCCCACAAAGATACCCCTTATCATCTGCCCTTGAACCTAGTTCCTCCAGCACAAGGTTTGATGGTTCCCAGGACGGGGCCCCTGCGCCCTGGTTTTGCTCAGCCCCCCCCCACACACACACACTGGAGGGCTCCAGCTCAGCAGGCGGGTCCGGGGGTCCTGTGGGGTAGTTCCCCTTGCTTCCTTCTGCTCATGTCCCTTAGGAGTTCCTAACACCATGCCTGCCCCACGACCATGGACTCTGGAGACCAGTCCCTGGAAGGTGGCTGGTAGCCTGTGCAGGTGGACTGGTACAGGTGGGACCGGAAGGCCCCAATCTCCAGACTTTGCTGGAAAAGGGGGTGCTGAAACACTTTAGGGGAGTGGGAAGTGGGGTGACTGCCCGTATTTCCCAGCTGACCGTCCGAAACCACAGCCTTCCTGGAGTGGGGGATGGGGACGGGGGGCGGGGTGTCTCGTGGTCCCACAGACCTCGACTCTGCCCTACGGACTTTCCAGGGGCCAAGTTCGACATTGGCCTGGGGAGGGGGTAGTCTGAGAGTTCCCTGCATTGCCACCCCCACAAGGTCACTGCTTCCCCCAGGCCACGGCTGCCCCTTCTCACCTCCTTGGAGCACCAGCCGCTCCCCATCCTTGAGTTTCTGCCTGACTTGCCAGCCCACGGCCAAGGCATCCTGAGGTTAGCCCTGTCCCCCTCTGCTCTCTAACCCGGCCCAGCTCCCTAGAGTGTGATGGTGGCATCAGTGGGGAAGGCGAAGAGAGAAAGGCAGGCTGATGAGTAGGTGCAGTACCGCCCTCTCCTTGGGAGACAAGAGGGTGACCCGAGTCGAGGGATCTGGCCGTAAAGAGACTCAGGAAAGGGGCGAAGTGGGCATCGGCCCTGAAGGATGCTCTGCCCCCCTTCTCTCCCCCCAGGCTCCAAGGCTCCAGGAATATCCCTGTTCTAGTTCCTCACGCCCTTGCTCGCTGCCATCGCCCTACTGGCTGAGGCTGGAAGACCCCTCAGTGCCCGGAGGGGGAGCTGCAGGGGAGCTGGAGCCACCAAGAAGGGCGGGGACTGGGTCCCTGCCAATCGCATGCAGGTCCAGGAGCCCCTTCAGGAGGAGGGGCGTGAGGGTGCCCTTCACATCCCCCATCCTGGAGCCCTGACCTGGGGTTTCCACTTCCATTCGGAGCCACTTCCAGGAACTGGTTCTGGGGGAGTGCTCCAGTACCCTCAGGCTTCTGCCTGCTGAGCTGGGCGTGGGGCAGGCCTGAGCCCACCCTGAGACCATCCAATCTTGTGCTGCCTCCTTCTCCCCCTCTCCCTGCTCCCCACACTGTTCCTCCTCCGAGACAAGCAGACATAAAAATGGGGGGTCTGGCCCCCTCCCCCACTGCCCCCTGGCCCCTCCCTTGCCCAGCCCTCGACTCTCCCCAGGGAGTTGATGCCGGTTGTCTCCTTGTCTCTCCCCCTCCCGCCCTGGGCTGGGCAGGTGACCATCTCGGTGGACGGGATCCTGACCACCACAGGCTACACGCAGGAGGACTACACCATGCTGGGCTCCGACGACTTCTTCTACATCGGGGGCAGCCCCAACACTGCGGACCTGCCAGGCTCGCCCGTCAGCAACAACTTCATGGGCTGCCTCAAGGACGTGAGTGGGGCCGGGGAGGGCTGCGGCCCTGAACGCTCGCCGCCTCTGTGATGGGGTCTGCGGGCCAGCCGCCAGGCCTCTGTGCTCTGGTCCTTCTCTTTTCAAAACCCGAGGCTGTTGGCTCCGTCCAGAGGCTTCTGTCTCACGGCCTTGGCCGCGGAAGCCCCGTCCTCTCGGGACCCTCGAGGCAGCTGCTGGATGTGAAGACTCAGCCCCTGTGGCTGGGTCCCAGCTCTTCTGCTCTCTGACCGTGGCCAAGTCCCCTGACCTGGCCTACTCTTCGTTTGCTCATTTGTAAAACGAGCACCTACTCCTTAAGGGGGGGTGCGAGGAGCAGAGGGGAGTGCAGACTAAAAGGCTTGGAGAACTGGGAAATGTCAACCAGGCGGTGGCCCTGACTGGCTGTTGTGACAAACGGGCATCATTGGCAGGAAGGCAGGACCGAGAGTCGGGAGCAGGGGAGTGGCTTGTTCATAGCCTCTGTGTGTGGTTCTAGAACAGCCGTGGGCAAACTACGGCCCGCCCTCCGGTCCAGTTTAAGAACCCATTGTGGCCCTCGAGTCAAAAAGTTTGCCCACCCCTGATGTAGAACAAAGGCCACGCCAGTGGTCTGGTGGAGCGGAGCAGGGCCCCCAGGGCTGGGTGGCAGCGCCCACGGTGCTGGGCAGGAGGGCCAGGCCCCAGCAGCTCCATGTCTCCTGCCCTGCCCTGCCCCTCCCTGCAGGTGGTCTACAAGAATAATGACTTCAAGCTGGAGCTGTCCCGCCTGGCAAAGGAAGGGGACCCCAAGATGAAGCTGCAGGGGGACCTGTCATTCCGCTGTGAAGACGTGGCTGCCCTGGACCCCGTGACCTTTGAGAGTCCCGAGGCCTTCGTGGCGCTGCCCCGCTGGAGCGCCAAACGCACTGGCTCCATCTCCCTAGACTTCCGCACCACGGAGCCCAACGGGCTGCTGCTCTTCAGCCAGGGCCGGCGGGCCGGGGCCATGGAGCTGTTGGACGGCTACCTCTACCTCCTGCTGGACATGGGCTCCGGAGGCATCAAGCTGCGGGCGTCCAGCCGCAAGGTCAACGACGGCGAGTGGTGCCACGTGGACTTCCAGAGGGACGGGCGCAAAGGTCGGGAGCCCTCTGGCCCCTTCTCCCTCCCTGGCCGCTCCTGGTCCCGGCCCTGACATCCTCCCAGGCCTCTTCTGTCCTACAGTTTCCTGAACTCCTCCTGCGTTTTCCCACTGGCCTCCCTGCCTTGCGCTGTCACTCCTGTCCTGGGGGAGGGCGTGGTGGAGACCTGGGGTCACACCTCCGCCCTTTCACTTACTGTGGGGGTAACGTTAGGCCCATCACTCAACCCCTGAAGCCTCAGTTTCCTCATCTACGAAAGGCGTCCCTGCATCAGGGTCATCGAGAGGGGAAAATGAGAGGGCACTGTAAAGGCCTTAGCACAGGGTCCCCCACAGAGTGAATATCTCACACCCCTAAAAAACTATTCCCAACCTTGCCTGCCTCTGTCTAGATCCATTCGACTTTCTCTTATTAATTCGTTTTAGAAATATGTACTGAGCGCAGCAGCAGCAGCTATGCAGGGCGCCGTCCAAGGTGCTGGAGCAGAGGGCGCATGAACTAAAAACTTTGCTGTCACAGAGCTGGTCAGGGGGGTCAGCGGGGTGGGGGGAGCTGACGGTGGCCCCAGTGAGGACCCCGCACAGTGACGCAGCAGAGCAGGGAGTGCCGAGGGCAGGCCGGTGCTGTCTGGAACCTCCGGCTGCTTTAGCCGCCCTCTCCTCCACTCGTCCCCAGTCCCCCTTGCCTGCCCTCTTCTTGTCTTCGGCCTAATTCACCTTGTCGAACGTGAGAGAATTATCTGGGAAAGACAGAGCTGATGTTCGTGAGAGCGGACATATTGTCCAGTGTAAGCTCCCATCCACGCCAGCTAAGGTGTCGCGCTCCCCGCTGTCACCGCGCTGGGCTGTGCGTCTCTGTGGAGTGACGGGGCTGCCGTGGCTCCCGGAAGTGTCCGCTTTTCATGGGCTGTTAGCTGTGCCTGCCTCTCCCTTCCTCGGGGCAAGGCTGCCTTCCCTGGGCTTCAGGGTCAGTGGGCCCACCCCCTCGTTTTGTCTCACGAGGCCCCACAGGGTCTCCCCGGCTCCTCGTGTCCACACAGGTGGGCAGTAGCCCTTTAGGTTGGAAAGCTGCCTGGACTCCCGGCCTCCTGCTCGCCTTGGCCTCCAGGAAGTGGTCTCCGTGGCCTCACACGGAGCTCAGAGCCCACACACGCAGCCTGGCTGGCCCCGGGGCCACTGCCTTGACCAGCTCTGGCCATGCCCAGTGGCCCACGTCCATCCCTGCACACAGCACGCATGCTTGCGCGGTCATTCCAGCAAAGCCCTCTGACCTTCCCCTGGTTTCAGAAAAATTGTAAATTATACATAACCTGAAAGTGACCATTTTAGCCATTTTAAGTGTACAGTGTAGTGGCACTGAGTGCATTCCCATCACTGTCACCCCCCCCCCCCCCATCTGCAGACCGTTTCCCTTTTCCCAAACTTAACGTCCATCCCCGTTAAGCAGTAACTCCTCCCCCTGCCCCGGGGCCCTGGCAGCTGGCATCCTGCTTTCTGCCCCATGAATGTGACTACGCCAGGGACCCCTGCAGCTGGCATATGCAGCCCTTGTCCCTTTGGGTCTGCCTCGTGCCACTCAGCAGACTGGTTTCAAGGTTCCTCCACGCTGTAGCGTGTGGCACCATTTCTTCTTACGGCAGAATGATATTCCATTGCATGTTACATGTCACACCGGTTGACGAAGGTTTGGGTCATTCCCTTTCCATGTTTAGGGCGACCTTGTGGCCAGGCCTATACTCGGTTTAATTTCCTCTTGCTCGGTGGCCGCTTTGACGCTCCTACCTGAGCCCGAATCTCCCCTAGGATAACGGTCTCCCTTCCAAAGCATTTACGATTCAGAAGCTCCGCACCGGCGCCCTCTCCTGGCTGCCAGCTGCCTCGCAGGCCCCAGGAGCTGACCTGCCGGCCCATCTTGTCCCCCAGCCACAGAGGGGCTCCCGGCTGGGGTGGAGGAGGCTGCCCTGGTGGTGGTGGTGGTGGGGGGGTGGGGTACTTTGGCTCTGCGCCTCCCCTGCCGTGGTGCTTCAGGCAGGTTCCTAGTTTCTCTGAGGCCTGCCTGCCATTTCCAAGTGGGGCCATGAAGGACCACCTTCACAGGGGACCGTGAGACTAAGCGATATAACATGTAAAGTGCTAAGGGCCTGGCACGTGGTCACAGACGCTCAGTAGATGTTAGTGGGGGAACCTTAGATGCAAGCCTTTCAGCCTCCTCAGGGGTCTGTGCCTCTAGCTCCTGGTTTAAGGGACTGGAGGGGGATCGGGGGGATGACCCGTGAATGATCCAGCCCTTTTGGGGTGTGTCCACCTCCTGTGCATCCTCTAAAGACTCGCTCAGGTGGGGAGGGAGAAGCCTGGACCTCACACTGCAGCCGGGCTGGACTGGCTCACATGAGCTGATGTTGGGGGGCCTTTGTCAGGTAGTGTCTGAGCAGGCGAGCGAGGCTCAGCTTCCCCCCACTGCTGCTGCAGGGGTGGGTGGGGAGGCCCGGCTGCCAGGCCATCTCCCTCTCTGGCCTGTGGCACCTCTCCGTCCGGCTGCCCCGCTGAGGCTCACTGTTTGGTGACCCCTAGGCTCCATCTCAGTGAACAGCCGCAGCACCCCGTTCCTGGCCACGGGGGAGAGTGAGATTCTGGACCTGGAGAGCGAGCTGTACCTGGGCGGTCTCCCCGAGGGGGGGCGCGTGGAAATGCCGCTGCCCCCGGAGGTGTGGACAGCGGCGCTGCGGGCCGGCTACGTGGGCTGCGTGCGGGACCCCGGCCCTGCCTGTCCTCCTGGTAATGATTCTCTCGTTTCTGTCTCCCTCCACTGGCCTCTGCCCGCCCTGCTCCCCTTTCCCCTCTCCCCACCCCCCTCTCCTGGGGCAGAGGCCACGGTCCTGAGCTACGACGGTTCCATGTACATGAAGATCATGCTGCCCAACGCCATGCACACGGAGGCGGAGGACGTGTCGCTGCGTTTCATGTCCCAGCGGGCCTACGGGCTCATGATGGCCACCACCTCCCGGGAGTCGGCCGACACCCTGCGCCTCGAGCTGGACGGGGGCCAGATG